GGGTCTGTGGGGGGATGGGAGGGATCCGGGTCCTGGGGGGTCTGTGCCCGCGGGGTGCGGGGTCTGGGTCTGGGTCTTTGTCTCCGCGTGAGTTGTCTCGCTGCGTCTCTCCTTCCAGGGGAGAGCCCCCACCGTCCCCTCGGCTCGGGTGAGGCAGGCTTCTTCCCGGCGGCGTGGCGGGGGCAGTGGCAGGAGGATTCGTAGCATCCTGCGCCGTCTCCGCCGTCCTCGTCCCGGGGATGCCCGAGCGGCTTGCCTGGACTGCACGCTTCGCCCTCTCCGCCTGGCTGGGAGGCGTGAATGCAGAGCACTGCGGTGTAGACGAGCGTCCTTAGCACGCCGGTGACATGCGAGCTTAGAGATCACCCCAGGCTGTAAATGTTTCAAGCGCCGTGGGGCTGACAAGCTGCAGTGCCTATTCTGGTTTAAAAAAAAAAAAATTGTTGTGGGGATACTAGAAAGGTTTATCTGTGGCTTAGCGTGCAGGATGTACGGTGCGTGGCGTTTTTCCTTTTAAATGGTTGATGTAATGGTCTGAGACTTGGAAGAGCAGCGCGATTGTTGATGGGAAGCAGCATTTGTTAGTGAACGGGAATTTATTTTTCAGTGTACAGTATGTGCGTGATCTTTTTTTGGCTGTTTACCATTTATAAAAATATAATCAGTGTTATCAGTCAGAGCGAAGGGCAGCTGGAGTGGGTGGCAGATTTGCTGTTTGTCTTTTTTCAGGCTTTACATTAGCAATCTCTTTTGATTACTACACGACTAGCGTTGAGAGGGGTCCCCTCACTCCAGCCTTTTTTTAATGGTAAACCGGGGTACAGACTGTAGATGGTGCTTTCAGTTGAAGATGGGGTCAGGCCTTCCCTGCACTGGAAGTCGGGGGAGAACTTCTCACCATTGCAACTACTGGTGGTAACTCTATTAGAGAAACTAGTGTAGACGGGGTACCGGGGCAGCTGTTGGTGTTTTCAATACTCTGTCATTTAGGTCTGTTTCGGGCCGTACTGGATAAACAAAATATAAGCAGCGTTGCCGTGTCTATACATGGTGCTTTCAATGTGGTTGCGGCCAGTGGATCTGCATCTGGCGGCAATTATGTAAATCCTTGGAAATAAATAAGAAAATCTCCTAGTGTAGAGACAGTCTTCAAGCTTGAGCTTCACTGATGCATATTGTTGTCCCATTGCTGCTATTGATTTTATTTATTGGGGAATTGTCATGAAAATAGTGTTGTGTCATTTAGTAAGAGTTGTATTTAAAACATTTAAATTGGGAGCCAAATGAAATATCCAGATACAATACTCTTAATATATGTCACTTATATCCCAGCGTGAAATAAAGTGATTTTGAGTAAGGAGGTTAAAGAAAAACCTTTTTCTTTCATCCTTCCAGAATTTTCTTATACATAGCAAATGAACTGTGCCTTTAGCCCCAAATCCTAGAGCAGGATTTGCAATAGCATGTGAGTCCAACTTAAGTTACAGAGTTTTTACAGCATCTTCCTGTCCTTGAGCCAACAATAAAAGGACAGTCTTGGTTATAGATATTTTAGCAGCTCTCATTTCACATAGTTCTATTTCATACCCTGAAGTCATGCTGAGACTAGTAATTTAGAATACAACCAAAAGAACCATGGCTTTCAGCTGCCTTTCTGTAGTGTACTTTATTGTGATTGTTGGACTAGTAGGCAGTGTCTGCCCATATTGATACTCCACAGCAGAGAGTAGGAGCAAGTCTAGTGAAGAACATTATGTACAGATAAGTACTGGAGAAAGAATTAAAGCTGTGTTATAAGGGGAAAAAATCTAGTTCACTGTGGCGTGGAGGACAGAACGCCACCCTCCCTCCTAGGATCACTGTTGTCTTTAAACCATTATTTTGCAAAGTACAGCTTTAGATAATGATTTCCTTTTTTTCAGTTCTTCACAGCCAAGTCCTAGGAATTGGAATGTGAATCTTTTCTTCTTCCCCTCCTTTTCAGCAGATTTTATTTAGCAATGAAATTGCACACCCCCAAGATGATGACTGGCATGTAGACTAAAGCCCTAATCCTGCAAACACTTGCACACAAGCTTAACTGCAGGCAGCTCAAACCATTCATATGCGTGAGCTGCAGCACCACTCTGTAATCAATAATAGGAGAATATTGTTCAGGTTTCATGGTTCAAGCACAAAGTTGGATAACCGCAATTTCCTTTACAGGTTATAAAGTGTTTACCATGATCTGTTTTTACTCTGTCTTTAAGATTGAGACTACACTTGCCACTTGCATATAGAGGCCATTGCTGGGTCAGGACACACATGCTTTCCTCTGGACTGCTTTCCACTGTTCTAGTTGTGGGAGGCATGCAGAGCAGCCCCTCCACAGGTTTTGGGGAAGTCGGGATCTTTGTAGGCAACTTCTGCTTCGTGCTTTCACTTCCGGCCATGTTTTTTCAGGCATGTGCCTGTGTGGAATGCCTGCCAGAACAAAGCTCATGCTTGTTAGTGTCTTAATTCATGGTTTAAATACATTGTGTGCGTGGTCGCCTTTCGAAAAGTGCTTAGCTGTCTAGATTGGGCCGATAATTCAGGAACCATGAGAACAAGCTAATGACTTGTATTATTCCTTTACTTTTCCCCAGTATTAGTGACAGTGTCATAATAGTGGAAGACTGAGACTAATGTAATAAAGTGCAAAAGATATGCCATGTGTGGGGCCAAATCCTATTAAACAATAGCAACTTTGAAATAACTTTCAAGCTGACTTTGAACTATGACTCAGTTTCAGTATATATAGGTCACTTGATTTTATCATCTAAAAAACTGGAGAAATATTAATATGTAACATCATTTTATATACTTTAATATAAGTAATAGAAGCACAGTCACTTTTTCATTTTGAAAACTTTTTTATAAATATAGTTTATAGGTTTGGCTTTTTTTTTCTAATCATTTATACCAGAAAAGGTGCTTTTTTTTGTTGTTGTTGTTGTGAAGGGGTTAGTGGGAAACTAAGACAATAGGCCTCTTTCTCATATCATCTGGTCTCCGTATACTCAAACTTTAGTAATTTTGCAGGTTAGCAAACCTCTTGGGTTTTATAATATAAATTTTAAAGGTTAGCTAGACAGATGCAGTGCAGTCTTTTTTTTTTTTTTTTTTTTTTTCCAGTCCCAAAGCTGTCTGCTTACCCAAACTTCATGTAAACAATGATCATTAAGTACACAGCGCTGCCTAATTTCTCTCATTTTCAAGACAAGGTTCTTTGGCTAAATCTGATCTCTTTTATTAGACCAACTCATTTTCAAGGCTTTTAATAGTTTCAGGGAAGCTATGAGGGAAGCTAGTTGGTTTGGGAGCTGTTAAAACCACAGTACTGCCAGCAGTGTATGCTTAGCAATGCTTAGAGCACTGTTAGCCTTGTGGTACTGTCAGCCCCCCAAACCAACTAGCTTCCTTTATGCCAAGGCTACTAATAGCAGTCCCAAAACAGACTATATAAGAAGCCCTGAAAAATGAGGGAAGCTCTTCAGTTTCAGGGTTGCTAATACCAGAGCACTGACAGCTGCATTACTTAATAAGCATTACTTACAGAGCTGTAAGTACTAGCCTGTTAATACCCCCTGAAACTACCTTCCCTCATTTTTGGGGATGCTATTAGAAGCCTTGGAAGTGAGGAGAGAGAATACCTATGAAACTAACTAGCTCCCTTCATTTTCAGGTCATCTGCTAACAGGCCTCTGACTGCTGCTTCCCCTTCAGTCTTCCTAGGAAGGTTCAAGGGAATGCAGTTATTATGCAGTTAACTTGAATACTTTGTTACAAAATAGACAGAGGGACTGAAATATGCCATGCATTTAAGTGGTTTATGCATTTAACCAATTTACGTATAATGAGTTAATTACAATAAACATTGAACAGTAGATGAACACTGGCAGTGTTATGCAGCTAAAGGAATCACACACTCTTGCACCTTGTAGACACGTGATGCAGCCTGATAAATATTTCTGTTGTGTCTGAGCCCTTTTTACTGTAGGATAAATGAGATAATTTAGTCATCAATAATTATGCATACAAAAACTGTTATAAGAATATTATATTTGCATAGTCAAGTAATTAGAAGTATGGTATGCATGATGATGCCCATCTTTAATTGTGTGACTACGTCCTATATGTATATCTTCGCCCAAGACTGCCCTCCTCACTCCAGGTTCAACTGTCGTCTCCTCTGTGTTCAAGTTGGGCTGATTCCTCAAGTTGGGCTGATTCCTCCACCACACTGCTGGGATGCCAGCAGAAGAAGCATGGAGAGGACAGGGGACAGTCTCCTTTTGCTTGTTTCTTTTACCTGGCATTAGAGTGACTCCTGACAGCTGGGAGGAGTAATTGGAAGGAAAGCATTGCTCAACCACTGCAGGCCTTTACC